TTCCCCAAATGTGGGAAACTCGACTGCATAATTTGTGGTAGTGGGGGACTGCGTTCGCGCTTTCCCCTGGTTTAGCATGTGTAAATGAAAGATACTTTCTGTTGCTTTATGTCTTACGGTCTACTGCTCTTGTTCTGTAGCAGTATCTGGTAACTTTAAGGAAGTAGGTGAAATGCTTATGCTGTTCTGCAAGTCAGAAGCTTTGAAGTTCAGGGCTGCTTTTTTTTTTTTTTTTCTAGGGAGCCATCTTTTTAACTTTTCTAGGCTTAAAGAGGCTGCTACTCAGTATGCATTTTCTTGCTTGAGGTTTTGTTACTCCACTTTCAAAGTCTGGTGAGTTAGCATTTTGTTTCTGTTGACGTCTCTTCTGTCCTTAGACCTCTTCTTTTGGTCTTCCTGCTTCCTTAATTATAAAGGACTGTGATTATACTAGGCCTATCTGGATAATTTGAGATGCTCACCCTATTTCAAATCCTTAGTCACATCTGCAAAATCTCTTTTGCCACAAAGCAAGGTAACATAGTCACAGGTTCAAGAATTAGGACATGGACATTTTTGGTGAGCTATTATTCAGCCTACTACATCCATAAAAACCGCAGATAGATTTGTCAGGAACTATAGAATGACGTCACTTTTTCAGGTGTTTGGAGTATGTAAGTAAGTGCAGTGTCTGCTGATCTTGTTCACATTGTACATACAGTATGATTATTGCAAATGTTCCAGTATCCAAAACGCTATTATCTGGCATTTACAGTTTGGAGAAGTCTTTATTTCGTTAAGTGACGATCTAGAGCTTGCATGAAGAGTGACAGTATGCGTTGAGTGTTTGGAATATAAGGGAATGTGAGAAACTGGACTGCATAGTTTGTGGTAGTGGGGGAGTGCGTTTGCGCTTCCTGTTGTTTCATCCTATTTTAAACCATAGTACGTATATCTTGACATACGTTACTGCTTGTGTGGTCGTTCACCAAGTACCAAGTTGTGTAGCAGAATGCAGTGTACTTCTCTATCGATGCTAGAGGGCTGTTTTTGTACATAATTGTTACCAAAGTTTGAACCAAAGAAGAGGTATCTGGGGAAGATTGAGCAAAGGGATGCACCCAGGGCAGAGGATAAAAGGGGGTAAAGAATTTAAGAGACTGTCTTCAGTTTGCTGAGTGTGAAAGATTATTTCCCAAAAGGCTGGGAGTTTATAATTTACTTTCCTGAACTGAGTAGTTAAGATTTCAGAGGGATTTTTCACTCCTTTTCAGGTGTGTCTCATGAACTGTATTGTTAGATTTCCCTGAAAATGGGAAACTAGACTGCAGTATAATCTGTGCTAGGGACAGTCTTCTTTTGTGTTCTCTCCTAGACCTTGCTTTTTGTTTTTGTTTTTTTCCCAATATAATTTTATTTTTATTAAAGTAACATTATGCACGTGTGGTTTTAAAAACATCATACAGGGGCTGGCCCTGGGGCACAGCAGTTAAGTTCATGCGCTCCGCTTTGGCGGCCCGGAGTTTTGCCAGTTCAGATCCAGGGTGCGGACATGACACTGCTCATCAGGCCATGCTGGGGCGGCATCCCACATGCCACAACTAAAAGGATCCACAACTAAAAGTACACAACTATGCACTGGGGGACTTTGGGGAGAAAAAGGAAAAATAAAATCTTTAAAAAAAAAGCAAAAAACAAAAAAATATCATATAGAAGCGCTCAACCCGAAAAATACTCCCCTGATCCACCTTTTCTCACCCTGCTGCATTCCCTCTCCCCAGGAGTACTACTTTTAAAACTCTATTAGTTGTTTCTTCGTAGTTACCTCAATAAATATTATGTTTGTGCTGGTATTTATACTAAGGATTTAGCTGATATTCTCCACCATGGTGTCTTCCCTCTTCTATCCTTTTTATTTTTGAGGAAGATTAACCCTGAGCTAACATCTGCTGCCAATCCTCCTCTTTTTGCTGAGGAAGACTGGCCCTGAGCTAACATCCATGCCCATCTTCCTCTACTTTATATGTGGGACGCCTACCACAGCATGGCTTGTCAAGCGGTGCCATGTCCGCACCAGAGACCGAACGACGAACCCTGGGCCGCCGAAGCGAAACATGCAGACTTAACCACTGCGCCACCGGACCAGCCCCTTCTATCCTTTTATTATATTTATGCAACAATTTCTAATTATTCAGTCTGTTCCCTTGGTAACTTTAAGTCATGCACCTTTATTATTTGTTGACTCCTTGTTTGGAAAAATGGAGATAGTAGCAAGGCTTTGGGGTTTTAAAAGAAAATGTTATGATTTTACTCCTTCCACTTATAAAAAGAATTAATTTATTGATGTTATAGATTATGTAGAGCAGGGAGAAATGTGAGTGGCAGGAAAATGTGAAGTATTTACCACTTGTAAATGGTATTGATTTTTTTCGTTTGTTTTGGTTTTGGTTTTTTTGAGGAAGATTAGCCCTGCACTAACTGCTGCCAATGCTCCTCTTTTTGCTGAGGAAGACTGGCCCTGAGCTAACATCCGTGCCCATCTTCCTCTACTTTATATGTGGGACGCCTACCATAGCATGGCTTTTGCCAAGCAGCGCCATGTCCGCACCCGGGATCTGAACAGGCGAATCATGGGCCACTGAGAAGCAGAACGTGCAAACTTAACGGCTGCACCACCGGGCTGGCCCTGGTTGTTTTCTTCTTCTTAATTAGTGCTCTTGCTCCATGTATCCAAAATGCACTTCATCATCTTTCCTCCCATGGCTGGGTAATTTGTGGGCCTGATGTAAAATGGAAATGAGAGCTCCCTATTAAAAATTATCAAGAATTTCACAATGTTGATAGCAGAGTATTAAACCAGATGTGGAGCCCTTCTAAGTGTAGTGCCCTGACCTTGACCCATCTTTTTGGCCACATTTACGGGCTTCCACAGGGCTCTTTCTCCCCCTTTCTCTTGGTTAATCTCCTAACTGATAGCTCTTTGTTTCCTTTCTCTCTCAAACTGTCCTTAGTACCGTGGGCAGATTAATTTTTCTATAACCTCTAATTTTCCTGCTCAGAATCCTTCAAAAGACTCCGTTGTGTAACAACCAAAGCCTAAGCTGGGAAATCTAGCATTCAGAGTTCCTTACTATCACACCTTAACGTTCCTTTCAAGCCTGTTCTCCACGAACAGGTACCTCTCACCTCCCAGCTCTAGGAACAACATGTGCTGTATTTAGGTAGGACAGATTCCTCATGGCCTGCCTTGCCCATCTTTGCATAACCAGATCCTACCCCCCTTTTATTTCATTCCTGAACATTTATTTTAATAACACATAAATAGGTTTCTTGATAAATAGCACACGTAAATAACCCTCCCTTAACCTCCTACCCCATCTGTTTATCTGGTATTTCTTTGCAGATCTTTTACTCTCCCTTCGTAAATACTGTCATATTACATCTCCCCACTCAGAACTTGTCTCAAATGTCATCCCTTCCAGGGAGCCTGCCCCAATTCCCTCTGAAAAAGTAATCTCTTATTTCTGTAGAGCAGCCAGGATTGGGAAGGAGCCATCCTTGGCTGAAGCCCCCTGCTTCAAGGAACCATTACAGGCTAGTGGCTGGGAATTCTGACTTGAGATGAGAGGTAAGGAGGAAAGTCAGGGAAAATTTCACAGTTTTTTCACTTTAATTTGCCTTATCTTCCTCCTAGCCTCTGGGTTCTTTGGAGTCAGGATTGAGTCTTATACATCCTACCACCCATATAGCCCCAACAGTGGGAATGTGGCAAATGTTTGTTGAATGATTGAAAGCAAGAAAGAGAGAGAGAGATAGGCAGGTCAGTCTAAGTGTTTGAGGATGCATTCATCAAGTGGAATTGGGCTGGAATCCACAAATACAGTGTGACACTGAAATTTACTTAACCTTTCCGTGCCTCAGTTTCCACATCTGTAAAGATGGAGATAACAATAGTACCTACCTCATAGGGGAGTTATGAAAATTAAATTGGTTATCATTTGTAAAAGGCTTAGAACAGTGCCTGCCATATAGTACGTATTACATGTGTTACTACTATTATTATCATTGTTATTGTTTTTGTTATTATTACAGTTACCTGTGATTCACACTCAGAAGCTATGCATCTGATTTCAACACTTATGAAAGAAAAGTCTATAGTTTCTAGCAGGCCGCAAAACAGAATCTGAGTTATCACATGCTAATAGGCTCCTCACAGGCCGCGTTTTCTTTTCCAAAGCCAGAGGAAAGGCAGTTTCCGGGCATAGCGCAAGACATCATCGTGGAGGTGTGTGATATGTAGATGAAGAATTCTGGTGCAGGGGCCGGCCAGAGGCCGAGTGGTTAAGTTTACGCGCTCCACTTCAGGTGGCCCAGGGTTTCCCCGGTTTGGATCCTGGGTGCAGACATGGCACCGCTCATCAGGCCATGCTGAGGCAACGTCCCACATGCCACAACTAGAAGGACCCACAACTAAAATATACAGCTATGTACCAGGGGGCTTTGGGGAGAAAAGGGAAAAATAGAATCTTTAAGAAAAGAATTCTGGGGGCCGGCCCAGTGGCGCAGCGGTTAAGTTCACACGTTCCACTTCTCAGCAACCCCGGGTTTGCTGTTTCCGGATCCCGGGTGCGGACATGGCACCGCTTGGCACGCCATACTGCGGTAGGCATCCCACATATAAAGTAGAGGAAGATGGGCACGGATGTTAGCTCAGGGCCAGGCTTCCTCAGCAGAAAGAGGAGGACTGGCAGTAGTTAGCTGAGGGCTAATCTTCCTCAAAAAGGAAAAAAAAAGTTTAAAAAGAATTCTGGTGCAAACTGGGACAGGTCGCTTCTCCCACCCTTGTGTCTTTCAACATGTGGTTTGGGGAACTTTCAGACTACCAGTCCTCTCAAGAGTTCAGGATGTTTGATTTAATTTTATGCCACGTTATGGAACTTTTAGGTGAAAGTTTACATTAGAAGCCTACCTAAATGGTGGTATGTACCCTGGGCTATGAAGGCCACGGGCCTTAAAATCTCATACTTGTCACAGGGGAGATATTGTGATCATGAAGATGATTTTTCTCAGGGCAAAGCTTATTTATTGTATTCTGGATATCCTGATCCCTGTGATTTCCCTAAATGTGGGAAGCTGGACTGCATGATTTGGTAGTGGGAGACTGCCTTCTGCTCTGCCCTGACTTTTGTGTTTCGACTAAAAGTTTGGGAAGGTCTTAAGGTTTGTTGAAGGGTAGGCGGTGACCTGGTTTCCCAGGCTGATGTTAAGTTCCGGCCACAGGGATGCTCTGAACTCTCAACTGTATTTTTACTCTGTTTTTCTCAAGCCTGGACCACCTAATTTGTAGCGATAGAATAAATGCTATCCTTATCGCTGTTTCTCCTGATTTTATCTCTGGTGAAAAGAAGGATTAAGGTTTATTTCTGGCTGGTTTGTTGTTCTCTAGGTCATTTGGAAATCTGGACTCTTGAGGGCGTTGAAATAACTAGGATTGGGGCCGGCCCGGTGGCACAGCGGTTAAGTGCGCATGTTCTGCTTCAGCGGGGTTTGCCGGTTCGGATCCCGGGTGTGGACATGGCACTGCTTGGCACACCATGCTGTGGTAGGCGTCCCATGTATAAAGTAGAGGAAGATGGGCATGGATGTTAGTTCAGGGCCAGCCTTCCTCAGCAAAAAGAGGAGGATTGGCAGCAGTTAGCTCAGGGCTAATCTTCCTCAAAAAAAGAAAAGAAATAACCAGGATATATTACCCTCTTAAACAGCTATTTTTCTCTTCACTGCAGCCAATTTGGGACGTTTGAACCTGTTTTAGGAGGCTACAGTCTTCTGTTAATCCTTTCTACTTCAGACAGTTAAGTTGAACAAATTTGGCTCTCCTTTATTATTGGATGCTACACCTGGATTGTGTCAGGGTGTTTCTAAAGGCCTCTTAGCAGTGTCTTGGAGAACTTAGTGGTGGCAAGTGGACTGTATCTGCAGGCGACTATTCCTCCTTTTTGTGCTGCTGATTGTGTTTCAGTTTCATGGTATGGTATGTTCTGGTCCTTCCTAATTCCCAAATCTACTATTCTGAGGATTTTCAGTGACTTCCACACTCGTGCTCACCTGTCTTGGAGAAGCAGTTCCTGCTGCTGCTTCCTAAAAATAATCTTTGTCTATCTATACTTCCAGTCTCTCCTGACCCTCAGCAATCTGACCAGGTTTACAGTGTCTCAAGGGGCCTGGCATATACTTGGCTTATAAATTTAAATACTCACCTGATGATTAACAATAGTCACCTGAGGGCCTGGCTTGGTGGCGCAGCAGTTAAGTTTGCACACTCCACTTCAGCAGCCTGGGGGTTCACCAGTTCGGATCCCGGGTGTGGACCTACACACTGCTTATCAAACCATGCTGTGGCAGGCACCCCACGTATAAAGTAGAAGAAGATGGGCATGGATGTTAGCTCAGGGCCAGTCTTCCTCAGCGAAAAAAAAGAGGAGGATTGGCGGCAGATGTTAGCTCAGGGCTAATCTTCCTCAAAAAAAATAGTCACCTGAGTACTATTTCTGGGACTTTGTTTAAAACTCAATGATGAGAGAGACAAAGTGCAGATATTTTGCAACATGCTTTTTAAGTTTATATCAAAGTAACACGTACACTTCATTTAAAAAGTTACATAATTTTTTTAGGCTACAAGCCGAGTTCTTTGCCCACCTCTTCCCATTTCCAGGTCCTCTTCAGATGGAGACACTTTCCACTCTAAAACAACGAAAATTTGATTTGTCTGACATTTACAAACCTCCGTGTTTATAAATGAATATGTATTATATTATCCTTTGATTCGTTCATTTTTGACGTTGTCTATTTTCGATAAATGGTAAATGAGGATTTAGCTCTCTTGCACCACCGTCTCTTCTCTCTTTTTCTAATATAGTTTAAAAACCATTTGGTTAAATCAAATTCAACGTTTATTTGAACATTCAGTGTTTATATTCAGACATTATTCACAGCAGAGCATGGTCACTGAATGTCATTAACTTTCCTTTAGTTTTGTTTTTCCTTTGGTTAGTTTTATTTTCCCTCTGTTTAGTTTTACCTTTTTTCACTTGGTTATTTTTCTTTCATGCATTCCTAATTCTTCCCACATCTTCCAATAGCCTCCTGTTTTCTACAAGGTTAGTCTTGTCAGGTGATCTTATTAGTTTAAATGGTTTTTGTTTTCCTGAAGATACTCTTTCTGGAGACATATCTACTTCTGTTTTTCTTCTGTCTACACCCATTGCTTTTTCAGCTTACTGTGTGAGTGTGATAGTTTAAATGAGTATCAGATTCTAAGGTTGGAGTTAAGTTTTCCTTCACAACTTCAAAGGCATTGCTTTGTTGACTTCCAGCCTCCAGAGGCTATTGAGAAGTCTTTCTGATTCCTGATCCTTTTTATGTGACATGTGACAGATGTTTCATTCTCAGAAAAGTTGAAGAATCATCTCTTTATTTTCATTGTTCTGTAGGTTCCTAACGATGTGCCTTAGTGCTTCTTATACCCCTTCATTGTATGGGGTGCTTGGGGAGGGCCCTTTCAACCAGAAAACCTTCCATGGTGGGAAATTCTCTTGTATTATTTCATTGATGATTCCTTCTTCTTAGTTTTTAGTTTTTCTATAACTCTCCATATTTGGATATTAGAACTCCTACAATAGTTCTCTAATGAAAAAAAAAATTCTGTTTTCCATCTGTCTTTTTTGCTCAACCCATGTATTCAGTTTTTTCTCTCTACAATTATATCACTAAGACCTCTTTTTTTGTTCTTGGTTTCTGTTTTGTATAGCTTCTTGTAGTACTTGTTTTTCAGATGCAAGGTCTTCTCTTATCTCTCTGAGGATTTTAATGATAGTTTTTGTTTTCTTTTTTTAGTTTTCTTCCCTTCGCATAGTCATTTTCCTCCAAATTGTCTTTTTTTTTTTCCTTTTTCTCCCCAAAGCCCCCGGTACATAACTGTATATTCTTTGTTGTGGGTCCTTCTAGTTGTGGCATGTGGGACGCTGCCTCAGCGTGGTCTGATGAGCAGTGTCCTGTCCGCGCCCAAGATTTGAACCAACGAAACACTGGGCCGCCTGCAGCGGAGCGCGCGAACTTAACTGCTCGGCCACGGGGCCAGCCCCCCTCCAAATTGTCTTTTGGTTAGTTGATTTAGCTACTGTCTTTCATGTTAGAGGCTTTGTCAGGTGTCTGGTCATCCTTGGTGGTTCAGTAGTCCTTGATTGTCTTCCTTGTATTAACAAGCAGGGAGATGATTGGAAGCCCTGAGGGCCGAGGTGAAGTGACCCCCTTTCTGCTTGCCTGCGGATTCATATGCCTCAGTCTTTGTAGAGGAAGCCCATGTCAACATCTTTGGGACTTTCTTCAGGGTCTTCACATTCCTCAGAGGAAACTTCCAGTATCCTGGAAGGTTAGGGCTTGTTTGCCAGTGTTCTGGAAACCAAATGGAGGCTAGAGGGAGGAGGTCTCAGTGCTGAGTTCAGCCTTTGGAATGCGTATGTATGTCCTCTTTTCAGTAAATGTTTATGCTTTCGTCTGCACTTAGGGTCTTCTCCAGAGCGTCTCAGTTGTACCCTCCTCCAGTCTTTCTCACCACTCTAGATAGTGCCAGGGTGAGTAGTTCCCCAGCAGTGCGGGGAGACAGGGGTTTGGACATCTCTTCTGAAATAGCTTTCCATCAACCTGGTTTCTTAGTATTCCCCTCATTTCACCTGGTTCTAGAGGTTCTGGTACTGTTAAATCTGGGGTTTTTTGAGGATTTTGCAGTGTCTGTTGGGTTACTTTTTAGTTTTCCCCAGAACTAGTTTAAAATTTTAGTATCCCAGGTCTAGTTGAGTCATTTATCATTTATAACTGTCAAAATTATGTTGTTGCTGTCCCCTCTGTCCTCTCCATTCTTGGGAATTGTTGCCTTTTTAGAAATTGCTTTACTACAGTTTTTGTGAGGTTTTGGGAGAGAGTGAAATTTATAGGTTTTCAATACACCATCTCTACACAGAACCGAGAATTATTTACAGTAGTGAAAAATTGAATCAACCTAAATGTCCAGCAATAGGGGGATGATTATATGAATTATGGGCCATCCTTAAAATGGACTATCATGCAGAAATTTAAAATTATGCTTCCGGGGCTGGCCCTGTGCCTGAGTGGTTAAGTTCGCATGCTCTGCTGCAGGTGACCCAGGGTTTCATCGGTTCGAATCCTGGGCGAGGACATGGCACCGCTCGTGGAGCCACGCTGAGGCGGCGTCCCACATGCCACAACTAGAAGGACCCACAACTAAGAATATACAACTATGTACCTGGGGGCTTTGGGGAGAAAAAGGAAAAAAATAAAATCTTAAAAAAAATAAAATAACATAAAATTATGTTTCCTATGTTTTTAATGAGAGAGAATAAAGTTAATTGATAAAATAATATATGCAGTAAGTATATGTTGTATTATCTCAACTATTTTATTATTTATTTTTTTATTGCCATAACATTGGATTATAACATTATATAGCTTTAGATGTACATCGTAATATATTTCGAATTCTGTGTTGATTACATCACGTTCACCACCCGAAAACTATAGTCCGTCACCTCACATGTAAGCTTAATCACCCCTTCTCCCCCTACCCCTTCCGCTATGGTCACCACCAATCCAGTCTCCATTGCTGTGTGTTTGTTTGTCGTTGTTATTATCTTCTACTTCTGAGTGAAATCATACGGTATTTGACTTTCTCCCTCTGACTTATATCTCAACTATTTTAAAAGAAATAAGGAAAACCCTACTCTAGAGGACCACAGCCTAGTGGGTGAGGTAACTCTGAATGCCAGACAGAGAGACGGCGAGACAGCAATATCGGCACTGTCTAGGCTGCTCTCAAGGTCACCCACGGGTGTTACTGTGTCCTAAAACTGACTCACAGAAACCAGACCAACTTCTGATACAACTCCCTAGTGATTTTACCAGGGTATTACTGCTATCTTAGTAGTTCCGATAGTTACTTTTCACCTTGGAGTCAATCTTCTTGGCTCCACAGACTAGCAGTGATAAAGAAATGACTCCAGGGGGCTGACCGGGTGACCCAGTGGTTAAGTTCGCGCACTCCACTTTGGGGTCCAGGGTTTCGTCAGTTCGGATCCTGGGCATGGACATGGCACCCCTCATCAAGCCAT